CATTGACAATTCTCGTCAATAAACCCAGGTGCTGCGCAATGTGGGGGCTTCTCGCATCTCTCTGAGATTTCGGTTGGCAAAAGAGACAACAAAATATAGGTCAGGGATTGATAGATTGGCATGTAGATTACGCCGAAATGAAGATACATATAATTTATTTAAACTTCGGACTATTCCTCTGCTCAATTCAAGATAAATGTTGTAATAATTATGAATGCCGGTTGTTGACCAATCGCGTCTCGTTTTCGGGGAGATTTGACTGCCCGCACCTCACGCAGGAATACATACTGCGTGGGAGGCTCCTCATTATTTCTGATAATATTAGGTAGGAAAACTTACCGTTTAAATTTTCTTTCTCCGTTCCTCTTTGTTCGCGTAATATCTACAATAGCAGCTAAGTTGCAGACCTTCTGTTTAAAGGAATTTATAGATTCTGTTGTGTAATCTAATCCACTACTGTAGACGGACTGAAAGGGAGTTTGTGTCTCTTGGAATAGCTGCATCGTTTTGTTTATGACGTGCATCCGAAGGAGCCACCTTAACTTTTTACTTCACGCCCTGATCCTATATCGAGTATGCAACAAGGATGTGTCAATTTGTCTCTATGGTACCGATAGATTAAGCGTAAGAAGCACTAAAAAGTAAATGCCACAATGCCCCATTGCATAGTATAAAAGTAAAAAAACATACTGGCACATTCATAATGTTGATTTATGGCTCTGGCATCCCAGAAAGATATGTCTTTTGAATTAATCTCTGTCAAGACATGCTGAAGGGCAGGGTCCCTTACAGTGAGTACTGGCTTATTGGCATCAATTGCGAAAGCCTAGAAAAGCAGAAAGTAAGGAAGGCGTACGTGTTTGGCAGAAATTGTTACTGTGGACCCCGATCCGCTCTCCGCACTTAACTCTAAAGATCCTTCCCCAAAGTAAATTTTCTTAAATTATTTTAAACATTTTAACAATTGCTTGATTTAGAGCATCCTCAACGCAGGACAAAATTAAAAGGGACGTAATTTCCCCCAGCATCAGTACACAAAACAATATTTGAACGCATATTTTCTAAAAAATATATTTGAATTTACAAGGGTATCGAAAATAAATAAAAGTAATGCACACTACTTAATTAGCCAATTTTTAAGGAATATTTTTTGCGGGCGGTCAAAAATAACCTTGCCCTAAAGCTGGTAGCCCACAGTCGTTGACATATCTTCAGATTGGTTTACACGGTAATGAACATGACAAACGTACCCAAATCGAAAACACGTTGCATCTAGGCAAGCAAGTGAATATGCGTATTTTTGAGGCTGTTTGAACGTACCATAGGTCCATACTGCATAACTGACTGGAGATCGTATGGCGTGTCGTAGGTGTTTATTTCGGCCTGATCCCACTTTTTATACGCATCCCAAAGGTATTCTGGGACATTTTCCAAATCAACATTCAGGACACTGTCCCTGTCTGCTCTAGACTGCTCGTGCGACAAGCCAATGACATGTCCAAGTTCGTGAAGATAAAGTCCATACTGAAGAGGAAATTATTTAATATATTTTCCTAACAAACGCTGGAACTAAATAATAGAAGCTTTGAGCTCCTTAGTAATTATGGATGCATTAATACGCAAGCTGGCTGTTAAAATTGTGCATCTATGATTTACTGGCAGGATGTTTCGTATCTAAATGAAAAAATTTAATCCTAAGACCATGAATTTGGCAACTTTGGAGTTGTCTCTACTCTAAAGTGCAATTTATAACGTCGCTGTCGTTAAAAAGGCATTATTTGCATGCTTACTTATCTTATCACTTCTATATATAGCGTAAATAAATCCAAGGAAATCAAAAACTAGTACCACAGTGGGACGTTTTCTGCTGAAGCGAAGTATGGCCTTATTCTCTATCTTACCTACGATCTCGTGGGGAGACCTATATTATTGCCGACAAGACGGAACGTATTGTTGTAACGGAAGCCCAGGCCGAGCTATCACCGCTCAATAACGCCTTATGTGAGTCCGCAAAGGAAGAACACGACAAGAAGTGTGCAACTGCAGAATTCTTTGAGCGTAATGGTTACAACATATTCAAGACGACAAACGCGTGAAACACGATGTCCATCGAGCCAATCAGCTTCTCTCCTGACGTGGGCGTCGGTACGATTGGCTGGTAACTCAACGGCTGACTGTAGCTTGAATTTTAAGTTATTGATTGATTGCCTGTCAGTATGATTCACCGCCTGTAGGCCGATTGATAGTCTGCCGTATGCGCGCCTCGTGCTTGCATACTATCTGCCTGTTAGGCTGTTGGTTAGGCTCTCCCTAACACCAGCTTGACCAGCTCCTGGCCTTCAGGCGTTCGCAGAGCAAAGCTGTAGCGGCTATCCAAGAGACAAAGTGGACTAACTCCACCAAGGTCCCTTCCTGTGCCGACTATAAGATCATCCGCCGCGACTGCGGTCGCAGCAAAGGAGGAGGTTTGACTTTCCTGGTGGGCAAATCCATTGCCCAGCATCAGCTACCCCCGCTTAGTGCCGATCCTACAGAAGTACTAGCGACTTCCCTCGACATTGGCCCGGCGTCGCTAACCATCGTGAACGTCTACATTCCTCCAACTTCCAGTTGTTATTCCGGTTTCACGGCCTCTATCGCTCCCTACTTACCTTCTGGAGACAGTTTGGTGCTAGGTGACT